TACAGGGGGAGAACAGATTAGTGGTAGCCAGGGCTAGGGCGGGGCTGTGTGTCTGTGAAGGGGCAGCACAAGGATCCTGTGACGGTGGAGCAGTGTTGTGTCTTGACTGTGGTGGCTGTGACAGTAATTTACACATGGAATAAGATTGCATAGAATTAACCCCTCACCACATTACACACACACAAATGAATGCGTCAAAACTGTGGAATCTGAATTAAGGTCTGTGAATTGTGCAAGGCTTGCATTTCCCAGGTTTGAAATTGTCCAGGATGTATGCAAGATGTCACCATGGGACCAGGCGTGGGTTGCTTGGGCCTGTAATCCTAACTACTTAGGGGGCAGAGATCAGAAGGATCACAGTTGAAAGTCAGCCCAGGGAAATAATTCGAGAAACCCTATTTTGAGAAAACCCTTCACAAAAGAAGGGCTGATGGAGTGGCTGGCTGCCTAGCAAGCACAAAGCCCTGAGTTCAAACCCCAGTACCGCAAGGATGTCACCATGAGAGAAAACCCAGTGAAGAATACACAGTATCTTTCTGTGTAATTTTTTGTAAGCATCTGTGAATATGCTATTTGTTTGAAAATTAAAAGTGAAAAAGACAGTATATTGAGTTGACATTTTACTATTAAGAATGATGCATATAACCATGATAAAGAGGAGAACAATCCCAGCTACTCAGGAAGCAGAGATGGGGAGGATTGTGGTCCCAGTTCAGCCTGGGTAAAAAGTTCTCAAGGACCTATTACAACTAATAAAAGTTGGGCGTGGTGGGGTGTGCCTGTCATCCCAGCATTTTTGTCACCCAAGAATCATAAAGAGAAGAATCACAGTCCCGGCCAGCCCAGGCATAAACACAAGAGCAAGAGAGTTGGGGGAATGCCTCATATGATAGAGTACCTGCCTAGCAAGTGCAAGACCTTAATTTAAAAAATCCCAGCACTATAAAAGAGAAGAAGAAGAAAGACAGCATATCATTGAGCGGAAAGAGAAGATTGAAAATTACGCACGCAATATAATCTCACAGTTACAGGAAATTAGGTTTCTGTGCACAGCTAGAAGAATGCTCACCAAAATGCTTGAGAAGAAAGCTGCTTTTTACTTCCTTCTTACATTTTCCAAGTTGTTTAAACTTTCTGTTGTTCACAACAGTAAAACAAATCTTCTAATGTTTAGGATTTTTTTTTAATGCTCCAATGACTGTTTATCAAAACAACAGTCATTGGAAAAATAAATAGTCACATATTGCTTATGGAAACCAAAAAGCAGGCTGGGGATGTAGTTCAATGGCAGAACACTTGGTGGTGTGGTTGTGGACTTACTTGTTCTGGGGTATTTTGGCAGTTAGTACTGGGGTTTGAACTCAGGGCTTACATGCTTGCTAGGCAGGCACTCTATCACTTGAGCCACTCCACCAGCCCTTTTTTGTGTTGGGTGTTTTTGAGATAGGGTCTTGCTTTTTGCCCAGGCTGGTCTTGAACCTGATCTTGAAAGATCAGGTCCTCCTGATCTTTGCCTCCCAAGTAGCTAGGATTCTAGCCACAAATCCTATGCCCGGCTGACTTATTTGCTTTACTTATCTGTGTGTTTTCTGTTTCTCCATGTTACAGTTATGCAGTCTCTATGTCTTTTTACTATTTGGATAGTTTAGAAATTTACTTCTTTCAAATATAAACAAGAAGTAAATCCAAAGTTGTAAAGTTCAAAACAGGCCTCCATTCTGCAAACTCAGAGTCAGTCCCCAGTCACCCTCAGGACGCCCACTGTTGTTAGAGATTTGTGTGTCTTCTAGAGTTTCTTCATGCAAATATAAGCAAGCAGGGTGTCCCACCATTTTCCACAAAAAGTAGCATCCTCTAGGGCTGGGGTGGCTCAAGTACTAGAGTGCTTGTCTAGTAATCACAGGACCCTGAGTTCAAACCCCTAGTACCACCAAAAAATAAAAATAAAAAAGTAGCACCCTCTATATTCAGTTCTACAGTTTGCTTTTTTTTTTTTTCTCTTGAAAATGTGTCTTGGAGAGCTTGCCATCACCTTATCTTGAGAATTCGACTTCTTCAACTGCATGTGCTGACATCCTCATAGGGGTAAGGCAGAATTTAGCAATCCCCTGCTAACAGCCATGCAACAGGTGAGCAATTCCTACCCCAGAGGACAAACTCAAGTGCTCTCTGGCACTACAGGTGTTGGTTCTCATCTTTTACTCTTGCAAACAGTGCTCCTGAGCCAGGGTGGAGTACAGTGACAGAGTACTTGCCTAAGTGTGCACAAGGCTCTGGGTTCAATCCCCAGCATCAGGAGAAATGATGACAATGAAAAGCAAATAATACAAGCAATTCCCACATGTGCAAGTTCACAATTTGCCTATTCATATATTGGGTTTGGCTTTTTTCTATCGATTCCTGAAGACGCTGAATAATAGGAAAATCCATTATTCTTTGTCTATTATGAGTTGCAAATACTTTTTTCTAGTTTGTCATTTGTCTTTTAACATTACATACAGAAGTATAATTTTAAATCATTTTTATGTAATAAATTTATCAATATTTTCTCTTTTGGCTCCTGGATTTTTGAGTCACACCTAACAAATCCTTCCCCATTTCAGCCAGGCACCAGTGGCTCACATCTGTAATCCTAGCTACTTGGCAGGTGGAGATCAGGAAGATCACAGTTTACGGCCAGCCCTGGCAAATAGTTTTTGAGACCCCAATCTTTAACATACCAGAGCAAAATGAACTGGAGGCATGGCTCAAACATTAGAGAGCCTGCTTTGCAATCCCACCCAAAAAAAGTACCTTCCCCATTTCAATGTTCCAAAGGAATTCTGCATTTCTTCTCGTACTTTTATGCTTTCATTTTTACTTTGGAATGTCCAGTCCGTTTTCCTTGATCCTGAAGGACAGTGTAGATAGAGACCCAATTTTATTTTTTCCCCAAATGGCTTCTCCTTTTCCTTCTCCTCTCCTCCTCTTCCTCCCCATCTTTATATTCTTTTTTAGGTGGGGTCTCACTATGTAGCCCTGACTGGCCTCTAAATTCCCCTGCCTTAGCCTCCTGAGTTCTGGGATTATAGATGTCCACTACCATGCCTAGCTTCACCCATTTTTCTTAATAAAGGGAAATGGGAACGTTGAAGTAGAAGTGCTGGCTCTCATCTGCTGTGGAGTTACTTATTTGGCTGTTGTCACACGTGACTCATTTGACCTGTCAGTTCTCTGAGATAAGCCGAGGGACCAGGTTTGGAGAGACTAAGAAAGGTAGCCTCTGAATGAACAAGTGAAAATTTCAGGTGAGAAAACCGAGGAGGACCTGTATTTGGAGGACCTGATAGTGCAGAAAGGACCTCGGCCAACTTGTCCACCCTTTATAGTACTAATGGGGAAACTGAAGTCCAGCAAGTGGGCAGATTTGACCCCCCGTATGTCCCCAAGGCTTTTAGTCACACTGCTCCCAGGCAGGAACCTGTGGAAGAGCAACTTGACCCCACTGTACAACTAGAAAAATCAAAACCAAAGCAGAAGTGACCCTAAAACACCTCAAATAGAAGCTGTGGTTTCCACTCCCTTTCCCAGGGACAAGCTGCCACCTTCACTTCTGCTTATGGGCTCCAAGTGCCCCATCCATCCCTGCAGAGAACCCCCAAGCACCATCACCCCCGTGGCCCCGGGCTGTCAGGGTGCCTCCCAGCCATTCATTATTTGGGGCCCTCTCAGAAATGAGGATTTCTTACCAGCTTCCCAGATGGTTCCCACAGACTGGGAAAAATTGAATACCATGCAAGATAAGGGGTTTGCTTGGGATCAACAGCAGCCCAGTGGTCAAGCTGGGATGCAGACCCAGGGTTCCAGATGCTAAAGCCAGAGCTCTGCCCACTGCACACTGCCATCTTCCAAGGTCAGCTGGACAGCTGAGCTATTTCATGGACAAGGAAGACCCTATTTAAGCCAGGAGAGGGATGCAGAGGTTTGTGGGGCACAGGACAGGGCCTTTGAGAGATGTGACTCTAATAACCAACTTTCAGTATTCAGGGTCCAGGCTGTGTGATGTTGGGCAAGGAACTTGACCTCTCTGGGCCTCGGGTTTTCTCATGTATAAAATGAGGCCAAAGAGACCTATTTCTCAGGGAGAGAGACTCAAACAACCATTCCCACAAACCACACTCCTGAGATTCAGGTCCTGACTCTAGTCCAGGGCTCTGACCAAAGTCCCTGGCCAAGAACACGTCTGTGTGTAAGGCTTGAGAACCCCTGCCTTCCCTCCCCCCAAAACTGATTACTTACCCCCAAAGTCTCCCAGGAACACCAGGGCCTGCCAGGCCAGCCATACTTCTACACACAACCCCACCTGCCTCCACCAAACAGCTGCCGTTGCCAACAGCCCCGAGTCCCTTGGCTCTGGCTTCCTCCAGCTTAGGTGAGGAGCGAGACTGTGGTCTCTTTGAAACAGTCCTGAGAGACGCTACTATCAGTCCCATTTCACAGATGGACAAAGAAAGGCCACAGTGAATCCCAGCACAGAGTCTGTGAGCCAGCTTGCCCCAGAGCCCTGTTTCGGAGACAGGTTTCCCCTACGCCCTAGTCTTAGTCGCTCCAGTTTGCTGAGTACAAGCTTGGTGCCAGGTCCCACTCTAAACACCTGACCACCCCTCACCCTTTTCCCTTGAAGTGCAGGTTATTGGATTCGCCCTTGTTTTTGCATCTGTAGAAAATTTAAGTCCAGGAAGGACAGATGCTTTCTAATACCCCAGGCCACATCAGAGAGCTCAAACTTGAACCCGAAGTCCAATCCCTCCATAGTTTAAGTGGTCTGAAAACACAGATTTCACAACACCCAGATTCGGAGTTGCCGCCCAGAAAGGGAACTTACTACTCCCAGGATGTCACCAGCCTGTTCCCACCCTGAGGATGGGGCATGTCCAGGGCCCAGTGTGGGGGGAGTATGGAGCTGGACTCCGGCTGGGGACAGATAGCTGGGCAGAGAGGCAGGAGACCCAGGAGCTAACCTGCAAAGCTGGCAGTCTCTGCTACTCTCTCTCTTGTTGCTGTCCTGTTGCTTCTGTAGGAAGATGAGGAAGTTGAAGCACAGACTGCAGCAGCCTCTCTGTTCTCCCCACTCCCACTTGTCGCCTCTTCTCGCCTCTCTTCACCTCAAACCAATGCCCCACATTCTCATTTCACTTCTTCTTTTGCTTCAGCGGCCTCTGTTTCCTCTGAGATGATGCTCACAACAAGTTCCCTCTTGATCTCACCCTGCAGGGCACCTGCTGTACTTCCTGGGGGTGGTGCGCCTCTGGAAGGAGCGTAAGGACAAGCAACATGGCACTGTGCAAGGTTCAAGGCCCACCTCAGCTTTGCGCCCTTGGGCAAACACTACTGCCTCTCTGTGCCTCTGTTTCTCCATCTGTAGAAAAGGAAAAGAGCTCCTTGCCTGATCTGACGAACTATGGGATTGATGACGGCAGGGAACTCAGGCAAGGGCTGTGGCAGGCCACCTGGCTTCAGGCACCAAGCCCCGATTCATGGACTGGGTGACTTGGGGAGAGGCACTTAACTGAACCTCAGCTTCCCTTGGTGCAATGGAATTAATGGCAATAGCACCTTTAGGGGTGGGGCTTATCACAGTAAGGCTGGCAAAGACAGTGGAAGTGCTCACAAATGTGCAGCCTGAGACCCAGAGAGGGCAGGTCCTAGCTCCAAGGGCCCTCTGGAAAATGGCTTCCCTGACAGAACTCAAAAAGTGTGGCCAGAACACTAGGGCTGCAAAACTGGCCACCTTCCCCTTAAGCAAGGGGACCCCACAAGCCTGTCCTACAGCAGCCACACCTGCTATACAACCTCAGGAAAGAGAGGAAGTGACACTCCTGACCCCATCATGGCCAGGACAGTGAAGATGAGAATGAGAAGTCAAGTCTCTCTGCGCCCACAGTCACACTGATCTGACTCTTGATTTTACCATTGTCATCTGCCTCCAGGCCCCTCTCTGATTGCAAAAACGATCTGATGTCAGCCTCTCTGCCCCCAATGGCCCCAGTAGGATTTCTGTCTCCAACTCAGGACAGTGGGTTCTCTGTCAGTATATCCTACACTTCAGCAATTCCCTTTCTGTACCCCTGCCACTATTTTTTGTCACCAGCACATCCCCTTATTTACTTGATATTTATCATTAAATTACTTCACTTTTTAGGACGTGTGTTTTAAGGGATTTTTTCCTTATTTCTAGGGTAAATAGTAAATCTATATCAGTTACCACAAATAGATGAAAATCATAAAAATAGGTAGCAAATGAAACTTATTACAAATCCAGCTAGAAACTTTGTTTAAAAAAAAAAAAAAAAGCATCATTTGTAATCCATGTTCACAGGAGGGTGTTCACAGTAGCCAAAAGGCAGAAACAGCGAAGGGTCCATCAACAGATGGATGGCTAAATGCAATGTGGTATGTGCAGTGGAGTATAATTCAATCTTTAAAAAGAAGGAATTTTTTTTTTGAGTCATTAAGAATAGGAAAAAAGCCAGTGGCTTATGCCTGTAATCCTAGCTACTCAGGAGGCAGAGAGCAGGAGGATCATGGTTCGAAGCCAACCTGGGCAAATAGTTTGCAAGACCCTATTTTGAAAATCACAAGAAAGGACTGCAGAGTGGCTCAAGGTGTAGGCCCTGAGTTCAAACCACAGTACCAAAAAAAAAAAAAAAATCAGTGTTGGAAAGAGGCTTAAGACAGTTTAACCTTAAACTCAGGCTGGATGGCAGCAAGATTAAGAAAGTCTTGGAAAGTAAATGACTCTTTCATCTGGGGCTAAGCAAGGCACTGGCCAGCCTCCCCATGCCACAGCCTCCAGAATGTTTGTAGGGAGCAGAGAAGCCCCTACAGGACACAGGACTCAGCTGAGCCCTGAGGGGTGGAGAGGAGCTGGAGGGCTGCTCAGGTCCATGCATGTCACAGTTGGGACAGAGCAGGGAGTTGGGTATGACTATGGCTGGCACATGCAGACCTGGGTGGAAGTAAAAGTCAGATGGGGATAGACCAGGAAGGCAATAGGGAGCCACTCCTGGCTTTTGAGCAGGAGAGTGTCTGGAAGTGAGTTCCAAGGTGTGGAGTACAGGACTTGAACCCCGAGCTGAGATAGGGCACAGATAGGTAGGTACAGATCTAGGCTGGGAAACAGGGGGACTTTGGGTACGGGGAGCAGAGCTTCCTCTTGGGCTCTGAAAGCAGCTGCTTGGGTTCATGTGTAGAGTGAGGAAACAGGTGGCTAGCGGTTCTATTCTAGCAGCAGCCAGGAGACCTCAGACGGGAAGAGCCTGGTGGTCAAGATCTGGGTTATGGTCAGAGGAAACCAAAGTACTGGGACTTCCAGTAATACAGCACTTGCCTAGCATGCACAGGGCTCTGGGCTTCATCCCCAGGAGTGCAAAAAAACAACAGCAAAAAACAAAAACAAAAAAAGGAATACACCCAGACAGAGCCTGGCCAAGGTATCAGGACACAGGTATGCTGGGTCTAGGGTCCCTGCAGAGCCTTTCACTGCAGCTGGGGTGGGGCCTGGCTGGCTTCCAAGGAGCAGTTCCCCTCCCCTTTCCCATAGAGCACCTGTGCTCTCTGTGGCTGTGGCTAAAAGGGCTAATGCGGGTGGGAGAGGAGAGGAGACAATGCTGGGACCTGTCTGCTTTCTCCCTTTTTCTGCATCTCCATGTTTCTCCCTGGAGTGGAACGGTCTACTCCTGAATCAGGGTTTCTCCAGGGAACCTGGATGGCCCAGGCAAGAGAGAGCACCTTATTTCTTCCTATATGTGCAGGCACCTGGGTTGCATGAGTGGGTGGGTCCTAGCACCTCTCACTAAATACACTCCCGCAGGACAGTATTCAGTGCTTCCTTCCTTCAGAGAAGGGTCCATCTGTGGTTACAGCCAGAGTCCTGGCACACCATCAGCTCAGTCTCCACCTTCTCCTGCCTATACCCAAAACACGGAAAGTTCTGAGCTCTAGCTTCAAGGCTGTCACTGGCTGTGAGACCCTGTGAAAGTCTGAGCCAAGAGCTGTTAAGTTTTCATTTCCCCAGCTTTAAAACGTGGATATCTTTGTCCTAAATTCTCTACATGTGAATCTCACAGGCCCAACTGCAGAGGAAGCAACAACCAACCACTGGAACGTTTGCAGATTAGTAATCAGTAAATGCTAACCAAACCCCACCAAAACTTGTCTCCAGCTGTCGTCAGAGAACATACAAATCGAAGAAATTGACAAGTGAAACTGCATAACTTGCAAAAACTATGGGATTTCACGAAGTTGATGGGACCAATGTGGAGAACAGAGCAGAGGATGACCACCACAGTCAGAGAAAGACCATCTGTAAGGGAAGTGAACACTTTTCAAAAAGAACCATCGGGCTATCAGAGGATTCAGAGTGATCCTTGGGTTTGAGGAAGTCCTAATATTTTTACAAAACAAAAAACACCTCTTGCTGCAAAAGTCACTCAGAAAGGAAGGATGCTACACACTCACTCTTGTCAGGAAAAGAAGTCTCCAAATATTAGGGTTTCATTCATTAGTCACTCCGTCTAATGTGTGTGCATGGTTGCAATCACAATCTAAATATTGTTTATCATAGGTAAGACTAATTTGTCATTTTTTAAAAAATTTTCCAGGTAATAACCTAGTTCCCCACACCTCTATCCTCTAATCAATTTTGGGTTTTTTTAAAAATTGATGCACCTCAGACACCCTTCCACCGAACAGGACTTGGTGAGGAGACACCTTCCTTATGCCCCTCTTCCCCTGCCAAGACCTCCGGCACCCTGCTCCCAAAAGAGGAAGCCCCAGAAGGGTCGTGCACATGGGGACTCTGCCACAAAGGGTAGCACATCAGCGAAAAGAGACTCTACCCGTGGGGGCAGGTCCCCACCAGGCTTCTTTACAGGTGTGAGGTTGCTTTGGTCAAAAAGGGAAACTGAGGCCCACTGAGGGCCCAAGTCCAGTCGCTGGCAGCGCTGGCACTAGGAAGAATGCGGGTAACAAAGGTGAAGACTTGGTAAGCAGCTCCACGTGCTGGGCGGGGGCCAGCGGTGCCCACTCCAGTAGCAGGCCGCCCAGTGTGCCGTTGGCGCCGGAGAAACCCGAGGCGGGAAAGCCAGGCCCGCGGGTCCCCAACCCTGCTCTCGATCCCCCCACGACGGTGGGACCCCCGCGGGGTCCGGCCCGCGCTCCAGCAGAGCCCCGCGCCCCGAAGTCAGACTTTGTCCCCAGCGCAGCCACTCGGCGGGGCCGGGGTCGCGGCGAGGCCGCGCTCGCGCTCGCTCCGGGGGCCCCGCGCCCCCGCCCGCCGGCTCCCCCATCCCCTCCCCCGGCGGGAGGAGGAGACTCGGCGGCCCTCCCTCGGCCCTCCCGGCGGCGGCCCAGCCCGCACCGTGCCCGCCCCACCCAGCCGCAGCGGCTCGGACGTCCGGAGTCCCTCGGCCCCGGCCAGAGGTGAGCGCGGCGGCGGGGCGGGAAGCCACCACGGCCAGAGACTCGCTCAGGCCGCGAACGTCCTCCGGGAGGGAAGGGGGTTAAAGGTGGGGGGCGTGCTGGAGGCGAGGGGAGGAGCGGGCGCGTCCGCAGCAGCCCCCAAACTTGGAGCAGAACTTTCTCGCCCCCTTCCCGGGCTCCCCCAGCTCCCGGGGCGCGGGCCTCCGCTGGGGAGGGGCTGCTGGGGCTGTGGGGGAGGGGGCCGCCTACGGAATAACGCGGGCCGGGGCCGGCCGGGAGGGGGCGGCGGGCGGGGGCGGAATGTGGAACTCTCCCGGGGGACCCAACGTGGTCACCATGGCGAGTGCAGGATGGACAGGCCGAACTGGCCAATCACAGCACGGTGCCTCCCTCAGGCCCGCGGCGGCTGCCAATGGGGGCCGCGTACTGGGGGTGGGCGGGACCGTGCCGGCCGGAGGCCCCGCCACCCACCGCTAGGGGGAGTGGGGCAGCTCGCAGGGCTGAAGCAGCAGAAGAGGGGGCGTCTAGGTGGGGACTTAGCCTGGTCAGGGACAAGGGAAGCAGAAAAGTAACTTCTGGATGGAGTTGGGGCAGGTGGAGAGGCGGCTTGGTGGGCCTCAGGTGTCCATCTTTTTGGGGTAGTGTGGAAAGGTGATGTCGGCAAGCCCCAGGTGCAACTTTGGTTTCTCTTAAGTAGGAATAATTACCCCCATCCTATCCTCTCTGCAGAGCGTTTGTGGGAAGTGGACTGTTTCAGGTTGACACAAAGTCTGCCCACCTGCTGGACAGAGCTTTTAGGAATGTTACTGCCTCTCTATATGTAGGAAAACTGAAGTCCAGAGAGGCCAGGGACCTTACATATCGCAGGGCATATCAATGACATCATTGGAATTAGTGGGACGTCTATTGTACAGAGGTAAAGTGTTCTAGGAGTTACTTTGGGACTTGGGTCCCCCCACCCCATGAAGGCGTCCCCCCTCCGCATCGCAGCTATACTTGTCCACTAGGCCTGGTATCTGAGGACCCCATCCAGGTGCTCCCATGGACATCGTGCCCTTCGTGACCCAGGAGAGGAAGCATCCAATGCCATTACTCTAGTTCCCTGTCCTGCCTTTACTGCTGATTCACTGTGTGGAGCACAGAAGTAGCTGCCCCTCTGGGCCTTAGTTGATCCAGCTGTATGAGAAGTTAGAAGGACCGCGCGATAGAGCACTTGCCTAGCATGTGCAAGGCCTTGGGTTCCATCCCCAGCATTGGAAGGAATTGGAATCTGTGACCTGGAATATCTTTGGGGCTGCTCAGTGTGAGATGAGGGTGCCTGGAAACAGGCTAGGTGCAGCCTGGAGACCTTGACACTCTCCCACCCTCCCAGTTCTCTCCTGGAGGTCCAGCAGCTAGAACCAGGGAAGCAGGTCAGAGGGACAGGTGCCCACAATCTGTGGGCTGACCAGCCTTGGGCCCTGCACTTATCCAATCAGGCTGTCCTCTGCGGTTTCCTGCTGGGCTCTGCTCCCTGCCCGCATCCAGGCCTGTGGCCATGGGCTTGTCCCAGAGTCCTACCTGAAAGATTCTGGGAGGACAGAATGAGGGGCTCTGAGCTGAGGGAAGGGGTCCTGGCTTCTGAGCCCTCAGTTCCCTCAGCTGGCTCCCATCCAACATTGCTCACTCCTCTGGATATTAAAAGACACTTACAAACATACTGAGGGCAAAACACAAGGATGTCTCCCTTGAATCAGTTAGGCTTCCTCAGGCAAGCAGCCAGACCTCTAACTGACCTTGACCACAAATGGCCTCAGACACCTACCTGTCTCAGAGCTGGGTGGAAAACTGACTTCTGATCCTTAAGAAAGCTCAACCCTCCCAAGCTCTCCTGGTCACATGGGGACCCCCTGACAGTAGCCTGTGTCCGTCTTCCATCCATCAGCCCAGAAGTGTTTGCACTGTATGCTGCATGCTGGGTCATGTGCTGACACCAGCAAGACCAGGATGCTCTTAGGGCCTTCACAGTGGGCACTGCTGAGAAACTAGGTGTCTGGTGCTTTGGGAGAACTGGCCTGCTATACACAGAGGTTAGGGAAGGCGTCTCAGGGGAGGAGATTCTGCCTAGGGGTTTTGAAGGATGTGTAGGAATTTGCAGGTGGAGAAAGAGAGGGAGAGACACTCTACACAGGTCTGTGAACAAAAAGAGCCTCTGGTCACTTTCTGTGGGCAGGGTGAGGAGGCTGTAGACTGTATGGAATGTGAAATCAAAGCAGCCTTGTTCCTGTCCTAGGGCAGGCAGCTATGGGGTTCAGGACCTCTGAGTCCCACTCAGCTCTGCTGCCCAGCCAAAAGTATGAAAGATCCAAGTTCAGCTTTCTTTTCTCTCCATTCCACCAGCTAGCTTTAAGCAGCTACTATACGCAGGGCACAACTGTCGCTCCTGTGCTGTAAGACAGAGGGCAGCTGGCCAGGTCTGGCTGTGGAGGCTGTAGGGTTGTGTTCCACGGGTGGGGGATGGGGCAGGGGCCATTGAGGCACTTCCTGGAAATGGTGGCACCTGAGCTGGAAGGATGAGGGCTCATAGTCTGGGAGGGGGCATTCTGAATGAAGGGGGTCACCCTCAAGAGCAAGCCAACTCAACAGCAGGAACAGATGTCTGATAGCCAGCTGTGGTTGGGTACATCTCTAATCCCATACTTGGAGGCTGAAGCAGGAGGATGTACAGTTCAAGGCCAGTTTGAGTCATGTAGTGAGACCCTGTCTCAGAAAACAAAAAGGAGGAAGTGTTTGGTTAACTCTGTGGCAGTAAGGAGGGGAGGGTGGAAAGGGGAGGCTCCCCAGGACGTAGATCAGCAGGTCCCACCCTGACCTTTCCTTGGGGGAATCAGGAAGCCACCCCCCACACACACATGCACCCCACAGGAAGAAGGCATGAGTCTGATGGGCAAGGGGTTAGGTACGGAAGCCTGGCTCTACAGTGAGCCAGGCCTCTGTGTGCCAGTTACCAGGGCTGTGTGTGAGCGTACTCAAGTGTGTCACGTGAGTAGGGAGGAGTAGGGGGGGAGTGGGGGATGTGTTGCTAGGCAGGGGCTGTCTGCACGGGTGTACAGGATTCCTGGTATGCTGGCGGCGGGTGAACATCTGCAGAAAGCCAGCCTGAAAACTCCTACCCCTTCCCCTACAGCTCCCACTGCGCCTTTCCTACCCCTTACCCCCACCAGAGGGCTGACTCTGGAGCCCCCACCCCTGCCTTCAGTGTGGGTGCCTGGAAGCCATTAGGGCCCGTGTGGTGCCTGCTCTACCCCTGCAGTACAGGCTTGGGATTCCTGGAAAGAGCCAGTGCCCCCTTCCAACCTAGCTCCACGCCAGGCCTGGCAGCTCCCAGAGGCGAGTGTGTGGCGAGTGTGTGGCAGCAGCCTCCCTGCTACACTCTTACTTTAGGGGCTGGAAGAAAGCCACGGAAGCTCTGCAGTGGCGGGGCTCAGACTGGGACTACTGGGCTGGCATTCGGGTTTCCTGCTTTCCCCCCTCCCCCTCCTCTCTAGGCTCTGGGTCATATTGCTTCTCTTTTCCAAGAGCTTCTCCCTGTGGAGCTGGGCCAGGAAAGTGGGGCGCGGAGTAGCGCGAGTGTGTACGTGTGCATGTGCGTGTGTGTGTATCCGCTTCTCTGAGAGGCTGAGTATAAATCTTCATGTCTTTGGGCCCATCTGCAGCGTGCAGTGCCTGTGTACAGGTGTGTCCATGTCTGCAGACGTGGAGCCTCTCCTGCATCTGAGCAGCTGGGGAAGGGGGTGCGAGTCCATCTCTGACTGTGTGGGATTACATGTGTGCCTGCAGGTGTGTCTGTGTGTGCATGGATGTCTGGATGCTTGTGGACTTCAAGGCTGCCACCTTGTTGCAGAGGAAGAGACCACTGGGTCACAGAGGGCATCTGCCAGGGATCCCTTGGGTTGTTGGGGGGGGGTGTGTGGAACTGAAGCCTGATCTGTCCACATCTGTCCACACAGGCGTTGTGGGGGTAGGGAATGTATGTGTCTGTGTATGGAAATATGGGAAGGCAACACTGAATACTCACGCACCCCAGACTTGGAGTCCTGAAGTGCCACTCCCAGCTGCATACCTACTGAGTACCCCTCTGGGGGATGGGGCTGAGGAACTGTGTTTTAGGCAAGTGTCCAGGTGAACTTGAAGCACCCCCTGATAAAGACATGCTGGAGTCCCTCACCTGCCCCCATTCCACAGGTGCAGAACCTGAGGCCCAGAAAGGCCCTGTGGCTTATGTGAGGTTGGTGGTGGAGCTGGGCCTACAATGCATGTCTGGTAAGGGCACAAAAGAACTAGAGAAAGGTAGGGCCTTCGATTAAGACCCAGGAGTGGGAGCTGGATAGGGGACAGGGCCACACACAGGGTACTATGGCTCCTTTGGGCTGGAGATTGTTGGAGTTGGATTCCTAGAGGGAGTGAGCTTGGAATTGATGCTAGAGTCCCAGCTGTGGTAATGAGCAAGGGCACAGTCAGGTTTGCATTTTTAAAAACTCACTCTGACTGCTGCTGCTGCTGCTGCTGCTGCTGCTGAGACTGAATTTGAAGGAGGCCAAAGTGCTTGAGAGATGGCTCGGGTGGGGGCTGGGCAGGGGAAGGAGAAGGCTACCCAGGACTAAGACAATGAGCTGGGAGCCATCAGGGAACAGGAGCAGGAACAATGGTGTCCAGAACTGGAGAGCACTGGAAGCCATCTGACATGAATGGCAGGTGAGGGAGTGATGGTAGAGAATGTGGGCCATCTGCCTGAGCCTTGAAAGGAAAGAGAGGAGGAGAGGGGAGAGTGCCAGGCAGGAAGGCCCCTGAAAGGATGACATCATTGGCAGGGGTGGGACGAGGGCCTGCACCCAAGCAAGGAGAGCCCTGTGCTCTCTCAAGTAGAGGGGAGGGGACCACAGGGCTTGATAGCTTCCCTTTTCACTTTAGATCACCTGCAGACTCTGAGGGGTTTAGAGATTGGGAAAGGGTGGGTGAAGGGGGACAGGTAGCCAATGGCTCCCTCTGAAGTGCCTGGAGTCCCACCAACAACAATGGTCACTGGGAAGGGGTGGGTCTTTGAGGTAGGTGTGAAGATTTGTGGACCAGACAAGGAGGGGTGTGATGTCCTGGGGGCCGGCTAGTAGCTGTCAGCTACTAGAGCCTAGAGCAGGTTGGGGACAGAGAGGACAGATATCTTGTTTATTTTAAAGGGAGGTGTGGCCCATGAATGGCAGAGCCATGGGTGTGGGGAGGCTGAGGTGACATGCAAGCCAGAGGGAGAGAGAGATGTCTGCAGGGATGACAGTGCTGAGGTGTCAGGGAGGAGTGGCTCTGGCAGAGGAGGGCAGGGAACCTCCCACCTTCCCAGTTCCCTGCCATCTGTGACATTGGTCTGGTTCCATCGTGTCACAGGTATGTCCATTTAGTCAGCAAATCCTCACCACTGTTTGCATTTTGAGTCGTGGATATTGTAACCAGTGATAATTCTCTCACCTCAAGACTGAGAGGAATAAAGGAGGTTTCTCAAATAAAGCCCTGGTCTATAGTCAGAAATGTCATTGTCATAAGTGTTGGGAGTAAACTAGTGTCCAAAACCCACAGGTGCAGTCCTGAGCAAACTCACAGCCTGGGACTACATGGGGAGTGGACATGGATAAATGGTTGGTAAGCATAGTGAGGAGGAAGGGCAGGAGTCTCAGAGGGCTTCTAGGAGGTGGTGATATCTCATGAGTTGCAGAGATGGCCGGTGTAGGAAAAGGCAGGGAGAGGTCGCCTGGCAACACGCTGGTGATCCCTCAAGGTTTGGTGTGGATGTGACGTCTACATATTCAACCAGTGGACCGGCACAGTGAAGATCAAAGACAGCAAATCAAGGTTTCAGATCAGTCCCTGGCTAGGCTGAGGGATGAGGGGATTAGAGGGGGGTCGGCCTTTGTTCGTGGGTTCCGCCTACCTCGCAGGTGATGCCCTGGAACACACCTCCCTCCTCCACCTGTGCCCACTGCCCGCCCACATACACCTGATCTTAATGGAACGTGGGTGGGCAAAGCCTAATGGTTGTATTCTCCCACAGGTCCAAGGCGGCATCCCCCACCCTGTGGCCTGGAGAACAGTGGGTCGTGGCGGTCATCATGCACAGTGGTATCCTGTCCACCTAGCATCCCCTGTTCCCCCTCTGAGCCCGGCCTCAAGTTCCAGCCCAAGGCCCGCCCAGCCACACCATGAGCCACGGGCCGAGCCCCCGGCTGATCGAGTCCCCACAGTTGTCCAAGGGCAGCCTCCTGACCATCCTGGGCAGCCCGTCGCCCGAGCGCATGGGGCCGGCCGACTCGCTGCCGCCCACGCCGTCCAGCGGCACCCCCTCGCCTGGGCCGCCGCCGGCGCTCGCCTTGCCGCCGGTGCCCGCGCTGCTGGCCGACGGGGACTGGGAGAGCCGCGAGGAGCTGCGGCTGCGGGAGCTGGAGGAGGCGCGCGCGCGGGCGGCGCAGATGGAGAAGACCATGCGCTGGTGGTCGGACTGCACGGCCAACTGGCGCGAGAAGTGGAGCAAGGTGCGCGCCGAGCGCAACCGCGCGCGCGAGGAGGTGCGCCAGCTGCGCCAGCGCCTCGACGCGCTCACCAAGGAGCTGGCGGGCGCGCGGCGCGAGCGCCAGGAGGCGCAGGGCGAGTGCGAGGCGCGGGGCCGCGAGCTGGCGCGGCTGCGGGGCGCCGCTGACAAGACGCACGACGGCCGGGAACCGGATCCCGAGCGGGAGCACGAGCCGGTGCGCGACGTCGGGTCAGAGAGGCCTCCGGGCAGCCAGGTGCAAAGCGGGGCTACAGATGTGGGTTTGGGAGGAGGCCAGTGTGCTGCGCCCCGCCCCCGTAGGGACACAGATCAGCTCCCCTCCCCAGACCCCCAAGATGGATAATCCCAGATTCTGGACCCTCCACTGCCACGCCTGAGAAGTCAACACAACCAAGAAATTGTTCCCTTTGAGCAGGAGAGGGATGCAGTGACTTGCCTGGAAGTTATGGGATTAGTAGCAGAGCTGAATCCATTCATTCTCTGAACTTGACTTTGGGGGCAAATTCACCAGGGCAGAGGGCCTGGTGAGTCTGGGGATGGCAGTAGGGGCCCATCACTCAGTAGGAGCCTCCACCTGCTCATCCTGCCAGTGCACTATGTAGTTAACCCCCACAGCAGCCCACCAAACCCAGATCTAAGCCGGTGACTACAGCTGCTGGGTTTGTACCTGGGCAGTCTGGCTTCAGAGCCAGACGAGTATGGCTGGGGCATTAATGGTGGGTACGAAGGCTGCCCATCCTGAACCAGCAGGCCTCTCACTAGAAGGCCACCTGGGGCAGGAGGCTCATCTCCCCAGCTCCATCCACAGGCAGGCCAGCTTCTCCTCTCCAGCCCTGTCCCCTGCCTGTGGACACTGCTGCCTCCTGGTGGCTGAGCCCCACTGTGAGGGGTCTGGGTAGTGTTTGGAGGTGTCCCCTACACCTGTTGGGGACTTCCAGCTCCTGTCCTCATGGCCTGTTATCACAGTCTGGGAACCCACAAGTACTGTGGGCAATACTTGCAGTCAGAGTTTCCACACCAGTCCAGCCACTCTGTGCTCTGCCACCCAGATCCAGTTCCCTCTTTCCCTGTTTCCCCATTTGTGAGATGGGGCTTTGGACCAGATAGCATCCAAGGTCCCCACTAAACAATCTGAGACAGCAAAAGGAAAGGAGGTCAGTCCTCCAAATGTCATCCATCTCCCTGCACCTCAATGTTTGCCCCCTAATAAGTCAGATCATGGAGCTAGAGTTCCTTTTGAGGGAATTGTCTTCAGTCACAGTAGGATCCCTGCTTCGGTATCCATTCCAACCAGTCCCATCAAGGTTTGCATACTTGCAATGACAGGGAGCTCACCCCTTTCCTGGATACATGAAACTCTGGTGGCTGATTGTGCAGTTCCAGGAGATAAAGGGGAAGACCCAGAGAATGGTGTGTTCCCCCAGCCCCAGAGATGGAGGAGGCAGCCGCAAAAGACGAAACTAGGGCCCAGCAGCCTAGAGTCTAGAGTCTCTCTTGTGACTTGCCCCAGGGCAGCCAGACCAGAGCCTGGAAGAGGCCATGAGAAAGACTGCCTGGGGAGGGCCTGGTGGCCAGGGGTGGCCAGGTGCAGCTTCACCTTGATCCCCACAGGAGCTGGACCTGGTGGAGAGCTTGCTGAAGAGCAGGCCAGAGGAGCCCGAGGGCTGTTGGGAGGCATGCAGCATGGCAGCCGGGGGCCCGAGGAGCAGCTCAGGCCGCCAAGATCGCAGCCGGCTACCCTGGGAGGACACAGCTGCCACCGAAGAGGACACCTCCAAGCTGACTGCCCTGCGGCTGCGGCTGGACGAGTCCCAGAAGGTGCTGCTCAAGGAGCGAGAGTGAGTCTCGAGGGGCAGGTGTGGGCTGGGGTACTCCCAGAATCCCAGAATGAAATCCGTGTCTCAGAATGTGAGACCCACAAGGTGCTATTGAGGCAGAAGTCTTGGTTTAGAGCAGTGGTGTTCCAGCCGAGGACTGAAAGCAGGATTTTATTCATTCTAATGAGTGTGAGGCATCTGCACAGGCCAATCACTGTGCTCAGCCCTGAGCCAGACTGGGGGGCCAGTCCTGAGGGCCAAGGTGAAGCAGGGAGGAAGTTGGGGGATTGGGTTGTAGGCAGGTGAGTGTGTGAATGAGACTGGGGTAGAGAGACAGGCAGTATTAAGAGCCAGGAGCCTGAGCCAGCGAAGTTCAGAAGTTGGCTGGGGGAAGGGGGAAGCAAGGGAGATGGAGAATGGAGCCAGTTCCAGTTCTGGGGAAGAGGACCAGAGAAAAGGTGTTTCACAGAGGACAGAGTGGTCAGCTAGCCCTGTAAAGAGGACTGAGTGCTGGCCATTGCCTTCAGGACATGAAGGTCATTTTGATCAGGGCAGTTAGAGGACCCAAGCCTGATGCTAATGAATACTCAGCCACTCTGCTGTCCAGAAAATAAATATGTAAATTGCACACTCCATCTACACACAGGATTCTTCACACGTGGAGTTCTCTTTTTTTGTGGTACTGGGGCTTGAACTCAGGGCCTTCACCTTGAGCTGTTCCACCAGTCCTATTTTTGTGAAGGGTTTTTCGAGATAGGGTCTCTTGAAACTATTTTCCTGGGCTAGCTTCCAACTGCCATCCTCCTGATCTCTGCCTCCTGCATAGCGAGGATTACAAGTGGTAGCCACCGGCGCCCGCTCACGTGAGTTCTTGTCCAGCATGCTCAAAGTCAAGATAATGCCATCAAGAAGATGAAGGTCAGGGTGACACGTTCACAGGTGTCATTGCTTTTGTGGTCAAGGAATGCCAAAGATGGGCAGCCAGCCAGCAGAAACTGGGGAGAGGCAGGGGCAGGTTCTTTGTCACAGCCCCAGGCGGAGCCACCCTGCCAGCACTTGACCTTGACATTGACCTCCTAGCTTCCAAGACTGTGAGAGAATACATGTCTGCTGTTTAAAATTTAAAAAGTCAAGCTAATACACTAACTGAAATATCAAGTAGAAATGAGAGTGAGTTGTGATAACACATGTATTGGCCTGTTCCTTCCCCAGGGACAAGCTGGCACTGAGTAGGAGCATTGAGAAGCTGGAGGCAGAGCTCAGCCAGTGGAAGATCAAGTATGAGGAGCTGAACAAGACCAAGCAGGAGATGCTTAAGCAAGTGAGTCTGGAGACGAGAGCAGCTTCCTGGAGGCAGCAGTCGCACACTGTTGAATTCTAGCAGTGGGGATGAGAAAGTGGGATTCATTCACTGAACGGCTACTCTGAGCACTAGGGATGGCGGGATGGCTGCAGGCCAGGGCACAGAGACAAAGTGACCAGGAACTTAAAATCATGAGTGGTAAAGAGTAGAAGCAATATGAGAGAGATGGGGTGGGGCCCAGGAAGGGCCTGTATAAGAAGGTGATGTTTGAGGCAAGACCTAAAGGAGGGTAGAAGAAGTCACCCTTGAGAAGACACGAGAACCAGGTGTTCACCGAAAACGCAAAGGTCCTGAGGCAGGTGAAAGCCTAGTGTGTACTGGACTTAAAAGAAAACCAGTGTGGCTGGAGAGTCCTAAGTGAGAGGTGAGGCCACAGCGGCAGATTTCACAGGGCACGTGAGTGGAACGGAGGAGTCAGATGGGACATCATTGACCGCCTAGTGTGTGCCAGACGTTATTGAAGCCTCGTGGCAGTCAAGGGGGTTTGGGTCTCACACCTCCAGCTTACAGATGAGGAAATGGGGGAGCCCACTGTTGCAGTAGCCGGGCTCTGGGCAGACTGGGCTGTCATCTGTCTCCTGCACCAGCCCAAGTGACCATCAGGGGGCGTAGCCACCCAGGGAAAGCCAAGCTGGGCTGGGTTTCCAGATGTAGAAAACCACAGCCCTCAGCACCTGAAACTTGGCCCTATAAGAGACTGGAGCCTGGTCTTCCTTTAGGATTTCTTAGGGAACTCCTAAAAGACAGTCCCAGGGCTCAGCCCCATCCGTCTGTCTGTCCATCATCTTTGGGGATTAGATCCTGGAACCTAGCTCTTTCAACTTTTCAAATGTGAAGTATGGCTGTTGAAGAAAAGTGAGTGAACTGTGAATGTGCACCATAGTAGGAAATTCTCCCTTTTGTGTTTGGCATCTTTTCTCAGCTTGCATTTTTCAGACTCACCCCTGTGATGTGGAGCCTGTTGGGTTTGCCACTGTGCAGCAGGGAAGTGTATCATTTTAAAAGCACTCTGAGTAGTTCTGCACCCCTCCTACAGCTCAGTGTGTGTGTGTATTGAGGGCTCTTGGACCAGGGCCATGCAGGGATACGAAGGTGGAAGACAGACAAGCCTCTGTCCTCTGGCTTGCATTCCAGTAGGCAGTGAGATGAGGAAACCCCCTCCTCTAGGCAAGGTGGGAAGGAGTGGCCTTCCTAGGAGGGGGTGTTTGGGCCAGAGCCTGAGGATAAGAACAGTCAATCCTGCAAAATACCTCAGAGCATTCCAGGCGAGGAGACCACATATGCAAAGGCCCTGCAGTGGGCAGGAACTTGGCATGTGGGAGGAATAGAAAGCCACCCATCGCCTGAACACAGTGGACTAGCGGGAAGGAGGTAACTGAGGTTGAGGAAAAGCGCATAGGAATCTGATTGTACAGGGTTTGTGAGACCACAGGATTTGGATTTTAGCCCAAGAGGGCAGAAGAGTATGTGATTGAATTTACCTTTTATCAACGCTAACTCTTTTTTGTTGTTGTTTTTTGGTGGGGGGCAGTTTTGCGGCTGAACTCAGAGTCTTGTACTTGCTAGGTGGGAGCTCTACCACTTGAGCCACACTTTCAGCTCTTTTTGCTTTAGTTATTTTATAGGTAGGGTCTCTCATTTTTGCTCCACTGGCCTGGACTGAGATCCTTCCATCTCTGCCTCTCATGTGGCTGGGATGACACCACATCCAGCTTGTTCTTTGAGATGGTAGTCTTGCTACCTTGATCCTTCCTATCTGTGCCTCCTGAGTAGCTGGGATTACAGGGATATACTACTGTACCTGGTTTAAAAGCTAACTCTTTCCTATGGTGGAAAACAGGCTGACAGAAGTCATGAACAGACACTCAGAGGCCAAGTGATGGGGAGGTGGGCAGCGAGAGGTGTGGGAGGCATAGAGTGTTCAGGTTCAGGGTCTCTTCTGGGTTCCTTGTGCCTCATTTGGGCGCTACCTTGGGCTCCTGCCCAGCACTCCTGCCCCACCCCCAGAGCTGGTTAACCAGGTTAAGTCCTGGTGGTCCTCATGTCATCATGCTAGGCATTGTCTTTGCAGCTCAGTATCCTGAAGGAGGCACACCAGGACGAGCTGGGCCGCATGTCTGAAGACCTTGAGGATGAGCTGGGTGCACGGTCCAGCATGGACAGGAAGATGGCTGAGCTGAGGGGCGAGGTGAGGCAGCTGGGAGGACCCTGGGAGGCCTGGTGCTTGGGGGTCCAGGAGCTGCATCAACAGGTCACTAGGAAAAAGGCAAGAGCCAGGGCTGTGTTCTGAGGGGGCATCCAGTCTGCAGGAGGTGCCCCCTCCCACCCAGAGACTAGAAGCACCCCACGTCCTTCCCACTGTGAAAGAAGCCCAGCCTAATTATGGCTGCTACAGCTGGATCTGCTTCCTGGAGCCATTTTTGGCTCTGGGAGGTAGGGGTCGTCCAGCTTGGCCCTCTGTGCCCATCCCCCAGGAATCTCACTGTGTCCTGTCCTATTGCAGATGGAGCGACTGCAGGCCGAGAATGCTGCCGAGTGGGGCCGCCGGGAGAGGCTGGAGACCGAGAAGCTGGGCCTGGAGCGGGAGAACAAGAAGTTGCGGGCACAGGTCGGGGACCTGGAGGAGGCGCTGGCCCGACGGCGACGGCAGACGGCCAGCGCCCTGGACTGCGACCTGCGGACCAGCCAGGCCGCACTGTTCGAAAAGAACAAGGTGGGGCCAGGGATTGAAGTGGCCAGGGCCTCCGTTCAACTGAGCAGTGCACCTACTATATACCCAGCCTGTTGATAAATTTGGTCCATTACAGCCTCTCTGGCCCAAAAATCTGAAATCCGAAATGCTCCAAAATCCAAAACTTTGAGCACCAATGTGATGCCCACATCTGCCATGTAACAGGTCCCAGTCAAAACGCGGGCGCACTAAAAATACTGCACGAGATTCCTTCAGGCTCTGCGTGTTATTCAAGAAAAGTGAGCAAATCACTTTTGAAAAGTATGTGTGAAATATATATGAATTTTGTGTGCAGATGGGAGTCCCATTCCTAAGACATCTCATTATATACATGCAGATATTCCAATGTCCTAGAAAATTTGAAACCAAATACACTTCTAGTCCCAAGCATCTTGGGTAAAAGATACTCACCTTGCTGCACTTCCTGAGCACGCACTGGATGCTAGATGGGTTGTAATTACAGCAGCTGTATTTATTTATCAAGAACCTCCTGGGTGCATGAGGGCACAGCAGTGAACAAGCCAATGTGCTGCCCCTCTGTGGAGCTGATGGCTAGCGGGGGTGCAGACATTGCTTTTGATCACAAAAGCTCATATTGACTGCACAGTCCATGGTTGTGGTAGGAAGAAGGGACCTGGCTTAGGCCCGGGGTCTTGGGAAGGCCTCCTGGAGGCAATGGTGTTTGAGCTGAGGTCTCCAGGAAAAGCAGAAGTTAATTGGTGGTGAACTGACTTTGCGGGGGGTGGGGGCAAAGACTGGGAAATGGCATAAGTAAGCGTCCCATGGGGAGAGGGTGAAGAGGGTCAGAAGAACAAGAAGGTCTATGTGACTGGAGGGACTGGGGTAGAGGAGGCAGGGGCCGTGGCCTCATTGGGAGAGCTTTACCAGAGGGGAGACCACTGCCATTGCCTGGGCAACAGGGATGATGGAGACCTGGACCCGGAGATGAAACAGTGGATTCAGGAGACCCGTCCCCATTTGACAGATGGGGACACTGAGAAGCCCAGAGCTTAGTCAGGGAGTGGGGAAGCAGTAGCATCTGCTTTGCCAGCCACTCGGACCTCTGATCTCTTCCTCTGACACCCACTTCTTGGCCTAGTTCACCCCAGACCAAAGCTTAATGCCCGGCTTCAACGCTGAAGCCTCCAGGCCCATCCCTCCCCCAGATCCTGACCCACAGCCTCGGCCTGCGGGATGTTTCCACACATCGTGCAGTTACACTTCCAAGTGGAGCCCCCAGTCCACCACGCCTTCTTTATTACCCCAGCCTTCTCGCCTTTCCTCTGGCACGTCTAGGCCCCAGGTTCCCACACAGCAGATGGGGAGACCCTGTGGAGAAGACACCAGCCAGCCCGCAGCACCACCCGGTGCCTGTGTGACCCTGCCTCCCCCATCCCCAGGAGCTGGCCGACCTGAAGCACGTACACGGCAAGCTGAAGAAGCAGTTCCAGGAGAAGGTGGCAGAGCTGGTGCATGCCAACCGGCGGGTGGAGCAGCACGAGGCGGAGGTGAAGAAGCTGCGGCTGCGGGTGGAGGAGCTCAAGAAGGAGCTGGCCCAAGCTGAGGACGAGGCTAGTACCCGCAGCCCGGGAGGAGGGCAGCCCACAGGATCACCTGTGCCACTCTGTGCCAGGGCCTGATGCCTGGCACAAGCCAGATGCTCAGGAGGCACCCAAGGCAGTGAGCAGGCGGGTGACGGGTGGGTGAGAAAGAAACGGTGAATGAGTGGGTGAGTGGGTGAGTGGATGTGTGGGCATGGCTGAGTGGAAGTTCAGAAGGAGGACTCCATAGATGGATGGACAGGTGGATGGAGGACTACGTGGACAGGTGGATGGGAGGGAGGATGATGGATGAGATATAGCAACAGACATCTACTGGCTAGGGGAAGGCTGGGTGGATGATTGTGTGCAAACAGACAGATGGCTTGTGGGTAGACAGTAGACAGATGGATGGACAAGCGGCTGCATGAGTGCGTGGAGGAATGAGTGGGCCAGGGAAGGAAGGAGAATGAAGACAGGTAAGTCTGGAGCATGTGGCCCGGCAGGTGCTGAGGGCCGGGTGGGTATCTCTATGGGCAGATGGATGGCTGATCGGCAGTTTAGGCTATGGAGGGTAGGGGCAGCAAGAGTGGAGAACAGGGGTGAGCACTTCACACTCCTGGAGGAGGTGGCACTGGGGCCAGGCCTCAGGAGCACATGCTGTCCTCCCACAGTGGACCAGGGGAGCTGGTTGGGCCAGGGCTGCCCCCACCCAAGGTAACCCTCATGCCTTTGGGCTCACTCACCCACAGTTGGATGAAGCCCACAACCAGGCGCGGAAGCTGCAGCGGTCACTGGACGAGCAGACAGAGCAGAGCGAGAACCTACAGGTGCAGCTGGAGCACCTGCAGTCCAGGTAGGCCTCCCGGGGTGGGCTGTGGGGGAGGGGACCATGCCTGGCCCAGGCAGGCAGAGGATCCAGGACTGGGGCTGGAGCCCCCAAGAGGGCCAGAGGGGAACACCAAGAAGGAGGAGATCCTGGGGCCAGAATCCTGTTCCCTCTGGGCAGGAAGAATCAGGGCCAGGAAACCAGGAGGGGGTCGGTGCAGGAAGCCAGCCCAGCTGGGGGCCCTGGAATTGTCTCTATCTGGTGGGTGTAGTAAGGACCGGAAGGGCCAGCAAGGTCAGACTAAGGCTGGAGACAGTGGGTGGGGCCAGTGTGGCTGGGAAAAGAGCAAGTAGCCCCTGAGGTTGCAGGACAGCAGGGCTCTGAAGATCTGGAGGACAGGGAGTGACAGAGGGTCCCTGCCATGGCAGGCCAAGCCATCAGCTGCCTACAGGACCTGTCAGTCCCTGTGGCAGGTCTGAGGGTCTCTGGTAGGCTCATCTGGCCCGCTCGCCTCTCCCTGCCCCACACCATTGTCTCTGAGTTGTGTGAATCAAGTCTTCTCCCTGCCCCTCCCCTGACATCAGGAAATGTCAGAGTTCACATTCAGTCCCTCCCTGGAAGCCGCAGGGGCAGCAGGGCCACAGCACTGACCACGCCCTCACCTGCCTCCTCTTGTCTATGGAGCAGAAGGCCCTGGGCTCTGCAGCCCAGCTGCCTGCGAGGGTCAGGAAAGCTGTGTGGTTGGGACGCTTCGCCTCCCTGGTCAGTTTTCCCTTCTGTACAGTTGGGAGGATGGTCGTAACTCTTACCTCTTGGTCATTGTGAGACTCAAACAAGCTGATTCATGTTGCTACAAGCACCTGGCACGATCAATGCTGAGTAATTGTCCACTGCTGCTGTAGTCACTACCACAGTCACTGCCAACCTGGGCAGGGGGCTTAGGTTTCAGTTAGATACCGTGCCACAGAAACATGTACCATCTGTGAGCCAAAGAAAGGGAGAAAGCTTTCTTTCTAGGGGGCCTGGCAGACAAAGCCCAAGAGGGAAAGTCCTTTGGCAGCCACACAGCTGGAGGGGGGCCAGGCCGGATCACCCCTGGCATCGGTCCCCCATTCGTTGAACATGTACTAAGTGCTACTGTCTACTGAGGTCTAGTGACTAGGAGCATAGGCTCTGGAGCCAGAACAAACAGTGGTGTGTCATGGTCATCTGGGCCTCAGTTTTCCCATCTGCCTGTGGTGATGGCTGAAAAGTATTGTGCAGGGGCCCAGCCATAAGTCTTCAGTCGCCCTTGTTGTGGCCAGCTCTGCCCAGTGCAGTGGCCACCCACACCCCTCCAAAGGCCACTTGGTCTGGGCTTTCCCACAGTGTCAGCTGCATTCCTCAGGAGCCATAAACTCCCAAAATGGGCAGGCGCTCTGCTCAACCTCCCAAGCCTTCACCCGGGCCGCCTGGGCCACCCAGCTCTGCCGCTTTAATGTTCCCAGACAGCTCAGTAAATCACCTCACAGTAATGGAGCCCCACACCGGGCCCTCCCTGCCATGTTAATAATTCATGCCTTCCAGTAAGACGCACCAGCCGGGCAGCCGCTTTGCTGGGCTTTTGGGGAGACGTATTTCCTCCAACGCCTCTTCTGAGAGGCAAAGTTTCCCTGGGCCATTTCAACTTCAGGAATTTTAATGAGAGGAACTATGACTGACGATGTTCTCACTGATGGTGGGAATACAGGGGGCCCAGACCACCACCGCCACCAAACTCTCTTCCCTCTGCTCTTGGATCCCCATCTCAGCAGCATGACATGGAGCCAGCTATGTCACCTCTCTAAGCCCCCAGCCACTCCAAATCCTGTGCTACAGTTCAGAGCCCAGCCTCACGGTCTCTCCTCTGCGTGGCTTTGGGTCGTTCCTCAACCTCTTTGCCCAGTTTCCTTGTCCATAAATGGTGGTGACACTAGCACTTCCCCCATACAAGTAGAGGTACCACAGGTTGTCTGATCATGCATAAGGGATGGTATAGCACTGGCAGTGCAGCTGAAGCCGCATCATCAGAAAGCAGCAGAGCCAAGACTCCTGCTCTGAGGTCCTGTCACCCATGCCCCACAGGCTCCGCAGACAGCAGCAGAACGCCCCCCTCTTTGGGAAGATACGCAGTGCCCGCTTTGGCAACGAGGAGGCTGGGGATGGAGCCAGCGACCTGGATGAAGACGAAGACCTGCAAATCCAGGTGGCCTAGGGCCTCCAGGACTAGACAACTGCCCAGCCGCTCGAACTGACACAGAGGCCTCACTGCTGTGCTCACTGTGGGTCCACACCCTGCCCCCTGCCACAGACCACTTTCTTCTCTCCCTGGCCCTGGAGAGGGGAAGCCTGTTTGATATATATATTATATATATGCCTGGGGCTGCTCGCACCCATTTGGTTTATAAACACAGGACCACTGCTGCCCAGGCCAGGCAGCTCCGCCCACCCAGGACTTCATGCAGGGGTGAGGCCCCCACCTAGGCTGTCTCTCTAGGCCTTGGCAGCTTGACCAGAGCTGTTTATAATACAATGCAATGAACCTAGTCGTTTGTAATAAATGGAGTTCAAGTTCTCGAAGCAGAGTCCTGAAAGTGTGACAGATACGGGGATGGGATGTAGGGGGCTCAGCATCAGCCTGCACTGACACTGAACCAGAGCTCAAAATTGTTAAGTGATTTAATGAGTGAATGAATGTGAACAGAATGAATGACCATCTGAGCTGCTGAGGGGTCTGGTATCGCACTCCTGTCGAGGAAGGTGATAGTATATGTCCACTGAGGAAAAGAAGAGACTTCAGTTCCAGCACCTGGTAGACTCAGATCTCTGCTCTGTTCCTTATTGGCTGTGCGGCCTCAGGCAAGTTACTTGCCTTCTCTGACCCTCAGTTTCAATTAAGATGTCTCATAGAGCAGTCGGAGGATTATAGGAGCTCCTCTGGAACTCAGTGAAGTTATTATTAAAATACTTGGAGGTCTGCCCTGGAGAGAAGGGATTTGCCAGCTGGACACAGGTAAAGAAGTTCCAGTGAATTTACCCAGGGATAGAGTTCACAATAAATAATTAACCCTCTTGTTTTTTCCTCAGCCCTACTTGGGTAGTAAAATTACAGGTAATTTTATTTTCTAAACCTTCTGCATCAGGCAGATGTGTATTGAATGTGTAGGAATGGTTAGAGGAACTCGCCTGCCCTTGGTGAGCTGCTGTGGTTAGGTATTGTGAGCAGGTAGTGAGTTCCCCATATCCAGGGGTGTACAAGGAAAGGCTGAGGCTCAGCCTGGCACGGAAGACAAATTCAGTTGATAAAGGGGCTATCTGCTGGGGTGGGCAGCTACGCTGAATGACTGGGACCAGGGGCACCTCAAGCCCAGCTGGGAGCCTGTAAATGGGGCCCTCATCCTGGTCCTCCCTGCCTGGCCTGAGTAATGATGCTATTGGGTGGGTTTGCTGCTAGGTTGATGCCCCGAGTCTACTCCTAGGCTCCAGGAGGAAGGGGTAAGTGGGCGAGACCTCCTTGAGGGTCCCCCTGGAGGGCTTCTTCCCTGGGAGCCAATGTCTGTAGCAGAAACCATTTTCTCCTAGGGGTCTTTCTGTTTTCTCTCCCAAACAGGAAGTTGGCCCAAGAAAAGGCTGAAGGTGCTGCCCTTTGACCCACAGGAGCCAGACCTGTACTGACAGCAGCCCTTCCAGCCACTTCTCAGGACCTGGCAGTCCTAGATAAGAGCAGACCCGGCTAGGCCCCTAGACTCCCTGGCACCTCTGGAGAGATAGTGCTGAGCGAGGGCCTCATTTACGGCCCCCGTCTCCCTGCTGCCACCACTATGTGCTGAGGATGTCAGCCAGTGAGCAGTGGGCCTGGTCCCCCACCTCCGTGAGCACAGGAAGAGGAAGGCCCAGCTTGGTGACTCTGGGGCCTGGAATGTGTGCTGCATCCCCCCTCATGACCCTTCTGTGACTCTCTTTTTACCTTCAGCAAAAGTCACCCATGGTCATGGCCACAGCATTTGCCAACAGAACCATTAAGTTTGGCTCACGTGATGTGTTAAAAATCTTTAATGCATTGCTAATATTAGTCATGGGAAGTTTTCACATCAAAATGCTGGTTTCCCTCTCCTGAGACGTCAGCGCCTCTGACCACACTGGGCTCCTGCTCCCACGAGGCCACAACTGCCGGGCTGAGAGGCTGAGGGTGGCCGTGGTGCTCAGCAGTCTCCACCAGCCCCTGCACCTTACCCTGTGCCCACCTCCTTCAAGCAAATCACCTCAGCACCCCGGGAGGCATCCGAGGACCATGTCCCCTCTAGCCTAGTCCAGTTTCTCTGGACTTGGAAACGGGTGAGCGAGAGGTTGGGTACAGAACCCACATCACTGTACAGCTAAGCCAAATCCACCTGTCACCCACAGGCTCAGAGACCTCACAGACTCCTGTCACTGAAACCAGAGTTTTGGACCCCAGGTCCAAACTCAGGCTCTCACACATCAGGTCTGACCACTTACCCCTCTATGCCAAATAGAAACATGGTGAAGGGCAGAGCCCAGGACGTGCATGGGAAGAGGCAGAGCGAGCACTCAGCCCATCTTCAGCCATCTTTGGGGCGCAGGCAGGCGCTTTAGCCTTAAATACGCAAAGAATTAGGGCAGGGGGCAAAAGTATGCATAGGCAGACAGTCCCAGTCACAGGTGTGTTCCGGTGGTCAGGGGTGGCACCAGGTAGATGGTCAGGCAGCTCACTGTCTTAGGATTGGTCAGGTGGGGACTGCTTGGCCATTGTCTCAGTCCTTGTTCTCCAAGGCTTCCAGAGAACTTACTAGCTGTCATCACTTGAGGGATACATTCTTGTTTTCAGGAAATGATTGCTTCTACTCCAAGGTGCAGTCCTCATTTGGAGGAGGGGATGGTCTGTCCTTCAGGGCTCTATTGTTCCTTAAGGGTAGTTTGGACCCTTGTCATAAAGATGGTATCCATCAGTCCTGTCCTTCCCTGATTCCAAAGTGGCTTTAGGAGAGAATGTCTCAGAGCAAAGAACGACAGGTACAAAAGGGAGCTAGGGATACCAAGCTTTTCTCCTGCTTTTAGTTAATTGATGAGCCCAAGTAAGAAGCCAGCGCTTTCCAGCAAAAGCAGTTTAAATACCTCTCCCATCACTATAGGCTTCACTGCCAAACACACTTCATGGTTATTGCTTCACATGTCGCCTCTCACTGTTCACTCCCAACAGCCGGGTGAGGCAAGTACTACCATTGTCCCATTTATGCTGAGATTCAGTGGCCCAGAGAGAGCAAGTAAGTGTCCCAAGGCCACACAGCTGATTAGTCATGAAGCTGAGCTCACGACAAGTGGTCTGAGTCCAGAGCTGCGCAGACTGCCCCTCCATGACAAGGTCCCCTCTGGACCCACCTTCTGTAGCCTCCCAGAATCACCCACTCCCAGCAGAGTCCCATGAGTTCTGCAAAACCAGGCCTATTGGTTCATTCTTAGAGTGTTAGTGGGTTGTTTATTGTCTGCTTCTCCTGCCCCACCAGCTGCTCCACTTGGGAGGGCAGACGATCCTAACAGCCAACATAGGGACATGCGCCTAACGGGCATGTTAAGTGTTGGGAGGAAGAGGAGGAAGGGAGGAGGGAAAGGGATGGATGGAGGAAGGATGGAGAGGTGGAATGATAGAAGGCTAAAGCCAGAAGCAGAGCACCCAGCCCCACTACACCGATTGCAGACCGGTCCTAGCATGGGTCCACTGGACAGCCAATCTCCTTGGGAGGAAGCTGTCAGCCCAGGTGCTGTACACGCAGCAGTGCAGGGCAGCGGTGCCAGGCCTCTCCTCCCAGGCCTGGAGTGCCCAGACAAGCTGGAGAACCGGCTAGGTCAGCCACTGCCGCCAGCCCTCCCCACCCTGCAGTCTGAGTGAGGGCTGGGAGCCCTGACGGCTGCCCTTGCTCCAGCCAAGGTTCTTTTCCGCAGCCTGACTTTATCAGGCAGCCCCTCCATGACCAAGAGTGAGCAATCCCCACTCCAGCCCTCCACACAAACCTGGCTTCTGACCCAGCCTGCTTTCTGGCTGGCTGTGTGCCTTCTAGTAAGCTCCTGCCCCTCTCTGGGCTTTAGTTTCCCTATATGTAAAATTGGACGACAAACAGGCTAACCAAACCTACATGTGAATTTACCATTCATGTTATTTGTCTGGCTTTGCCAGAGCAATAGCTCTGCACTCCCTTCCAAGACCCCAGCACCTTCTTCACCTGGGGACCTCCAGCCACTCTGACTAACCCTTCTGGGGCAGTGGGTAGGGGGTTGGAGGCAAAGGCAGCACCCAGGAAGGAATCAGCTGCAGCTCAGCCACCTATCCCCTTCCCCCCCCCACCCACCCAGTTCCTCTGCCGACTTTATCTACTAATTGCAGGGTTTCCATATGCCAGCTGCCTCCCAGGCACCAGGCAGGTGCTTCCCAACAGAGCAGGGGCTCCCTGGGAAACCTTCCAGTCCCCCCAGTCCACAGACCCAGCTGTGTCAGGTGGTCTCCATGGTGCTCAGACTCCTCCCCTTCCCCTCTGGGGAGAGGCCTGAAAAGGTGAGAGCAACAAAGCCTTCCATTCCAGGCCTCCCCTCCCAACCCAAGACCAAGCATGGCTCCCCACTGCTGGACCAGCTCCCGTCCTCAGCCTAGCAGGTGGGGGCTGATTCTCACCTGTGAGTAGGTTCTTCAAGTGCTCTCAATGCCCTGCTGCTCTGGGATGAGGTCCAGATAGGCCCCCTGCTGTGGCCCCTCTTCTACTGCCCCCCATCCAGCTCGTGCTCTGCATCTGCCCTACTGTAAGTCAGGGCAGATGGCTGGCTGCCAGACAGCTCCACAGGGATTTGGGGACCTCCATCCTTAGCCTGACCAAACTCTGAGGATAGCCATGCTGCCTGAAGGAATCCCAATGTCCCCAGGAGACGTGGGGGAATGTCATCTGGGCTGGTGTGCCTTTTAATTTTAATCTTCACAACTATCTGGGAGGTGAACAATGGTAAGATGAGAAAACTGAGGTCCCGAAATGGTAGGGACCAGCCAGTAAGTGACAGGGTCAGGATTTGCAGCTACACCCCTCAGCCCAGTGCTGGTAGGGCTGCTGAGTGAGGTGCTGGTAGTGTTGGTGAGAGGAGGCAGGGAAATGCTGGAGAGAGGGAAGCCCAAGCCAAGCCATCACCGTCCTTGTACTCCAGCATCTCACTGGATCCTCTAACTTAGGCAAGTCAGAGTTGGGAACCTCACTGCCCACATGAATAAATTGGGGTTGAGTGAGCCAAGCAGCTTAACACCCAGTGCACCCAGCCACTCTGTCCTGGGACTGCCACACCAGTTAGTGGCATTGTAGTCCTTTGCGCCTTCATGTCCTCCTTTCAGATAACTCAGAGAGTGCAGCTCAGTGGTAGAGTACTTGCCTCGTGTGTGAGCAGCCCTGGACTCCATTCCCAGCCCTGCAAAAATAAATGGATAATAAATAAAATAAGAGAGAGCAGCCATGCCGATGTGGATCTGCCTATGCCATTAACTAAGCCACCTTGCCGAGCCTCAGTTTCCTCATATGCTATATGA